GCTCCTAGTGTTTGCCCAACAAGAGTTGCACTGTGCTGCAAAGTTTTAATGAATCAGGTGTTGAGCCAGAAGCTCCAGTTCCTGTGGGAGTTTGTTCTGCGATTCCAGAGCGTGTTGAATCGCCGCACTCCGCTGCCTTTGGGTTTCTCTTCCTCTTCCCAGTTTAGCAACACACTGTAGCCAGAGATGAAATCACCTACACTGGTGTCTGGGATTCGTGAGAGGATTGCATGGGAGCCAGGGGCCAGATCCCCAGCTGGCACAAATTGGCTCAATGCCCTCGGGTGCTACAAATCACCCACTTAGCATCACTTGAGAGTCTGGCTGCCGTGCCCCTGGTGCAGAGACACCCGAGTGATAAGCCTGGCACAAAATGCCCCCGGGGACAGAGAGCACGCTCCCGCATGAATTGGCCCTGGAGCTATTTCAGTACAGAGGAGGGGGGCATTTTTTAAAATGATTATTGCTGGAGCATATTTGCTAGTGAAATAGCGCTGGAGTCATTGCAAAGAAGAATTGTTCCAACTATCTGAGCTGCTCTAATAAAAGATATCAGATTTACCCAAAGAGCCTTGTCTACTGGAGTCATTTGCAACCCAAGCAGGGGTCTCCCCGAGGTAGAGGGCTGGGAAACTCCCCCAGCCAGGTGCTGCCTGGGTAACTCCACTGGCTGCAGGATCAAACAGCAGAATTTGGCCCCATTTTTCTCTTCTCCTGCAGATCCCCTTAAACAACCCCGCACTTTCTCCTGCTGCTTCCGACGAGCTGTCTGGCACTGGAGCCGTGCCGATAGCACGCTGCACTGCTTGCACTTCAGTGCCTGCGAGGAGCAGCGAAGTAACCGCAGGACCCTGAGCCTTTCCCTGCATCCATCAGGATGTCCAGAGTCCCCTGCACCCTGCGGCAGCGAGTGAGGAGCGCAGAACAGCTGCTGACCCAGAGGGGCTGACTCTGCCCCATTCGCCTCCCTTAAATACCCCACGGACAGAGCTGCACACACGCAGGCAGGGGCAGGGAGCCCACCCTTGCAAGCTGCTATAGGAACTGCAGTGCAGCTGGGGTTTCGGGGGGCAGAAATGGTCACCTGAGACATGCCCCTGGGCGGGACTGGTGGAAGCAGGCTCCGGGCCTGGGAGTGACCGTCAGCCTCCTGCCCTGGTTCTCACGAGAGGTGAACATTAAGGGGTGCAAAGGTGGACAGAAAGCAACTATGTGCCCAGAGGGATGTGAGTGGCCCGGCCCAGCCCAAACTGCCTCTGCCTGGCACAGCTGGAGGGGTATGCCAGCCTGCACTGGCAGCGCTGCCTGGGCACCCTCCCATCCCCTTGCTTTCTCTCTTGCAGAAAGAGGGATGCTACGGAGATGTCTCAGGATAGTTCCTTTGCAGGAAGAGTTTGATTCCCCTGTAGACGCAGGAGATCATGTGCTCTGTGCGTCCGACCCGTCACAGGGGCAAGGTGCTTCCTCCCTTGAAGCGCTGCTCGTGGGGAAGCAAAGCTGGAAATCCACGGTGCCTTTGCAGCACAAGGGAGATGTCACAGGGCACACTGCTTTGAAATCAGGCAGAGAATGGCTGCCAACGGCGTTTCATTGACCAGGAGCATCCTCAGAGATCAGGAGGCCCCAGGGAGCAAGAGGAGCCGATGGCAGCGCTGTACCATGGGCGCCGGCAAGGATTCAGCGTTCTTCAAGGTCTTGCAAGATGAGATCCCAACCACTGATCCAGGAAGGTAGGAGTCAAAGGAAAGAGTCAGAGATTCATAGAAACTGAGGGTGGGAAGGGACCGCAGGAGGTCACATCTAGTCCGAGCAGGACCAGCCCCAACTGCATCATCCCAGACAAGGCTTTGTCCAGCCAGGTCTTAAACATCTCCAAGGATGGAGAGTCCACCACCTCTCTGGGCCACCTGCTCCAGTGCTGCACCACCCTCCTAGGGAGAAAGTTTTTCCTAATAGCCCCTAAAGTCCCTTGCTGCAGCTTCAGACCATTGCTCCTTGCTCTCGCTGTCCGATAACACGCCCTGCATGGGAGCACCGGTCTGAGAGAGACCAGGCAGCTCCTGGCCCCAGAGACAAAGACTATCCAGAGTCACAGGGACTCCCAATAGCACCTCCCCTTCAGTGCAAATATCAAAAGAGCAGCAAAAGGCAGATTCCAGCTGTTTTTAAGAAATATTTGTCTGGCTGCAGGGAGGCTCGGGGCCGAATCCTGCGTTGGTGAAACAGCCCGATGCTACTGCAGGGTGTGGGGGGAAACCAGCTGCGACCCCTGAAAATGTGACCTCTGCTTTCATAGCTCAGTGGAAACGTGTCCTGGTGTGCTGGCTTCTCCTGCCAAAACTCCCCAGCACTTGGATGCTCATGGGAAAGCAAAGCTGGAAATCCACTGAGCTTCAAGGCACAGCGAGGCAGGGAGCAGGCAAATGCAAAGTAAAGGAACGTAACCACATCTGTGCCAGAGAAGCAGAGCATTCACCTTAATCAAAATGAAGAGGTGATTTATCCCTGCGCATACACCACTGGTACTGGCACGCGTGTTGGCACGTGTCGTGCCATCTGAGCCCCCGTGGGCCGTGCGCCCTGGGGTGCGGTGTGTGCCGGTGCAACGTAGCCACAGCAGAAATGTTCCCGATAGAAGAGCAGCGTCCGGTGCGTGCAGCCGGCAGGGGCCGGATCCCCTTGGTGGGACTTGCAAGCTGACGATCACAACCTACGGCAAGATGCACACGCAGTGGTATGCTGCAGGCAGGGGGATGGGTTAGGGTTAGGGTTAGGGTTGGCACGGGGGTTTCCAGTGTGCTTTCACACCTTCTCTGCCATCTCAGCTCTGCAACACTCGAGGGTCCCTGCTCGTCCTTGACAGCGCGGGAACGGACAAGTTGCCACTGAAGGCTGGCTGGGGCGATGCTGTCCAAACTGCCAGGGGAGAGTCCTTTTGTGCAGCTCTGCCGCATGGAGGGACCCAGGGCAACCCGGGCTGGGGCTATCATCGATAAACAGAGCCGGACACATGCGTGGGTGAACCGCGCAGCTGCCCAGGGCATGAACAGAAAGGGGGCCCTTTTTTCCTGTTGTCCAATTATTATTATCATTATCTCTGGCGAAGGGGGGCCGATACTAAAAGTTCACCTGGGGCTGCCAGGGGTCTAGGTACAGCACCGGCCATCAAAGCCGGTGAGGGGAGTTGGGATCGAGTGAAATCCTGACAGTGTTCACAGAAAACGCCACGTGAAGCCTTTTCCGCAGGGAGGGATCACGTGCGGGCCAAGCGAGCGCCTTCTGCCGAGAGCCGCCGAACACCGACTGCCGCGAGGGCCAAGACGCAGTGCGGAAGCGGGCGTGAGACCTGCGCTCTGGGGACGCAGCACAGGAGGGGCTGTCAGGTGCAAACCCTCTTGTAAAGCTCCCTCCAGCGTGGGGTTTTCACCGTCCTGTTCTTTGATCGCTGCGATGCCTTTCAGGCCTGGCACGCGCCTCCCCATGCGAGGCGAGCAGGTCTGCACACCCAGCCCAAGTAATTAGGTCGCTCTCTGTAAAGGCAAGTGGGGCAGAGACGAGCTGTGGGCTCAAAGAAATCCCTCGGTCCTTAAACATGTGAGTGGCCCCTTGTGGCTTGTTAATAAAGCTATAGGATATCCTATATCAGTGCTTCTCGACCCTGGTAGACCCCAGACCCCTTTGGAGAACGCCAGCTCTTCGCTTTGGCTTGTTTCGTGATGACGGAAAATACCAGAGCAATTCTGCTGTTGCAAAGCGCTCAGGTCGGATGGTTTGTGACCACGTGGATCGCTGTTTGAAATCGCTGGGCTCGTGTTGTGAATCACGTTGTGTTGTGGTGTTTGCACTCCGGCGCCCTGGCTGAGAGTCACCGACCCTGTTGAGGGGTGTGCTCGAAAGGGGGTGGATAGAAAGGGAAGAGTTATCCCTTTACCATCAAAGCAACTCCTCCGCAGTCAGCGTCTAGAGCAATGATTCACCTGGGCTTGTTTTTCAGAGACGGGAGGAGTGCATGGGGCAGACCGCACATTTTTGGATGCAGCATCGCGCATCTTCTTTGTTTGCCGTGAGAAAAAACCCTGCGTGTCCCAACACCCGGGAGAGGCAAATGCCAAGCAGGCCCTGGCTGAGCACGGATCCCCTCGCTAACGGAGCTCGTAGCCCTATCCAGAAGTGAAACCATCAAAACCGAGGGCTGGCAGGGACCTCAGGAGGACCAAGCAGGACCAAGCCCAACTCCATCGTCCCTGGCAGTAGCCCACCGCGCCAGGCAGGGAGCAGGGCCGCCAGAGGCGGATGGATGGGTGTGCAGAGGGGGAGAGATGCATCTGGCATCATCCCCAAAGTGCCAGGGCCGTGCACGAGCGTGCTGCTTTCGTTTATTCGGGGGCGGTTAAGTGGAAACAAGGACGGAGGGCGAAGAACGACTCCCTGTGAGCCGCTGCAGGCTGCTAAGAGAAAAGACCTGCAGGGAAATGCCGAGCAACACCCCAGACCCACCTCCAACCTGCACCGTGGGCGAACTCTCAGGAGGGCAAACGTCCCCCTGGGATGGAGCCAAAGGTCCCTGCAGAGCGGCCGGCTCCCAGCTCCTACCGACCAGCTCAGCCCGCGGGGCGCCGGGGGGGAGCGTGCCCCCTCCTCCTGGTCCGGGCAGCGCGCCGCAGGAGTCCTCCCTGCCAAACCCGGAGACCACCTATTCTCTGCCTCTGTGCTTTCCTTTTGCCCCCAACCCCGTGACCGTCCCAGGAGCTCGGGGCTTCCCCCCGCCGCGAACGGACACGAAACGCAGGCGCTGGCATCACCCCTGGCCCAAGGCAAGGACAGCCGCAGAGGGCACGGCGTGGACACGAGGCCGAGCGATGCTGCTGAGCTGTTTATTGATGCAGGAAGCGAAGTGCTCGGGGCGAGCGCACGTGAGCTAGCGCCAGGCCTCTGGGCAACCGCTGCCAGCGCGTGGGAAGTCCTGGGGGGCTCTTTCAGGACACCGCGGCGGGAAAGGTTCAACATACTCCATAGCGGACGAAGGTGAGAGTCTTCTTGCTTTGCCTGCGGGAAAAGGGAGGAAGAAACAGGTTAGAGACCGAGCGTGGGGGACACCGCACGGGGTTGGCACAGGGGATCTGCTGGGCCCTGGCCCTGGAGCCCTGGGGCCTTGCTGTGGCCCTTCATTATTAACATGGGACAAAGAGGAAACTCCTTCTGCAAGATCAAGCTGTCCCGGAGAAATATGAAGTCTTTCATGCTGTCAGAAGACCCTGTGCTAAATTCTCCGTGGTGTAGGTGGGGAACAGTCCGTTCCTCGGTCTGCATCTACTCGGCCCTTTATAGGTTTCAATTAAAAGAAAAGCGCACAATTCCCGGCATTGCTCGGGGCGTCCTGTGCTGCTCGCCGTCCCCAGGACAGCAGAGGAAGGTACGTGGGCGGTGACGAGGACAGGCACTCGTCCCGTGGCAAGCAGGGGAGACGCGATGTAGTCCCGTACGTACGCGACTGCGTTACAAAAGGTGCACTTGTTGCCGTATGTCTTGCCATCAGAGCCGCAGATGGGCATGTACTCCATGGTGCAGACCGGTCCCGCAGAGTCACGGCAGTCAACCTGCAAAATGAATTGCGAGGTCCCATTGTAAAAGGGGCAAATGGCAAATGGGGCCAGACCCTTTGCCACAAGCGCAGGAGCAAGGACGATCATCTACTTCGCTGCCAAGAATGAATATCTGCCAAGCTTCGTCCCAGGGGAGTTCAGCTAAGCGTGCAGGCGCCGTCCCCACCCGGGAGCCCTGCGCAATGCAAGCCAAGCGCAGCGTGTGCGAGGAGCCGGGGGAAGGTGGTCTTTCCCCCGCACACGGGGCCGCTGGCATGTCTCTGGTTGCCCTGGGAAATTCCCGGCTCCAAGGTGAACGTGCTGATATCTACGGCAGTCTTGCTTCCTTGTGTTAGCTGTAAACCTGCTTCCTAATACTTTCCTTGCAGATCCCCTTGCTCTCGGGATCTGAGGGATAATACATAGCGGGCACGTCTGCACTTTCATTCATGCACCGTAGTTACTGCGCATTAAGTTTAGCATGTGTATAACGAAGTACTAAATGAATGCGCAGTAACTAGAGCTACTATGCAGCAGCAGCACCGGAGCATGGGTTTTTACAGACGCTAACCGCACAGTACCCTAATACTACTGCGCCATAACACGTGAGCACGGGTTTTGCCCAGCACGCTACTGCACAGCATTATTCAGCTATTGCACAGTATGCGTCTCATGCACATGCACCCGGTAGGTCCCAATTTCCTTTTTTCCACGTCATTATTTTATTGCCCTCTATCATATGCCCCCTCGGCTGTCTTTTTCTAAGCTGAAAAGTTCTAGCCTGTCGAGTCCCCGGGACTCTTCCCGCAGCCATCAGTGGGATGAGGACCAAGCATCCCTCCACACGCACCAGTTCTGGTTTCTTCTTGCACGGCCCCTGGTGCTGCAGGGTGATGTTGGCTCCATGTTCCCTGGAAAAGGCAAAACTGGAGTCAGGAGGCCCAGCCGAGAGCATGAACTGAACTGATGTCTAACAAATGAGACGTGGGAGACGTGTGCCCGCAACGGTTTGTTTTCTCCAGCCAGGCAGCGTCAACCTCAGTGACTAGTACAACCCTGCTAGCTGGTGGCCATGCTGTCTTCCTACAGTGGATCGTGTGGGATAGCACTCGGGCCCGATCTTTTCTTTGCTTAGTCTCCAGTCACCCGCTGCTGCGCCCACCTCTGGCTCTGAGCACGAGCAAGAGCCATGAGAAGAAACACGGGGTAGTGTCGAGGGGCAAAGAAAGGGCTCAGGACCTGAAACGTCCAAGGAAAGGTCAAGGGAGACGTGCAACTATTGCTAAAAGCTGTTACTGGGAACGCTGGCGATTGCTAATGGCTCGGGAAGAAACTTCTAAGTTCGGTACTTACACGTTGTAGGCGCACAGCATGCATTCGCTGGCATACGTGACGTTGTTGGAGCCACAGACCGGTTTGTAGTTCGGTGTGCAGGCCAAGCTTTGGACACCGCGCATGGATACTTTTGTGTATTTACTGCAGACAAGCTGGAAGAGTAAAATGGAGCAATAGCCGCCTTCATGAGACGCAGCAGTGCCCCAGCTCAAACCCACCCCGGCTCAAGCCCTGGAGGGCATAGGGCGCAATATTTAAACCTATTCTTCCTTTGCAGACAGAGCCACTCATGTCTGCAGCAGCGTCATCTGGTTCTCTCTGCTGGAAGAGGAGGGATGCGCTGCACCGTGGGCAGCGGGTGGTCTGTGCATGCCCCGAACCCATTTCTATCACGCCCGGGCTGCTCCGAGCTGAAGCCAGCTGTCATCTGACAATAGCAGCTGAGGGATTTCCACCAAGCCCTGATTTTGCAAGCGATGTCTCTAGACAGGATAATTACCTTTCCGCATTCTCCTTTGTGTCGGATGCCAATGTTAGTGCCGTGCTCTCTGGTGGAGGTAGAGAGAAAGGCAGAAGGGGCGGGAGGGAGAGATGGATGTTACAGAACCCAGTCTTGTAGAGATATGCCGGCACGAGGGTGCGAGACGATCGCATCCCCCCACCCCAGCAAAAGCCTCCCCTTGCTCTTGCAATGCAGCAGCATTGAAAATATTTGCCTGGCTCAGCTTCTGCTGCGGGGAGACTGGACTGGAGGGTGGAGTCAACGCACAAGGAGAAGCATTTTTCTGCCACCATGTGCCACTTCTCCACGAGGAGTTGCCCTGTGCATAGCCAGGCCAACACAGCCATGAAGGCAGTAGCCACATAATGCAGGGAACCCATTAGCGAGAGACTCACCCTGTTATGCTGTCAGTGTTGGGGATATGAACCACATTCACACCTTATGCATGGGAGGCTGCCAGGATCCCCCAAGTCAGCAAAAGCAAGAGGCGGGAGAGGGACATCAGGGTGGAGGAGAGGGGCACCAGGAGGTTCAGAGGCCTCCAGAAATGGGGCTATGAAGCAGGGCTGGACGGGAGGAAGGGGCCTGTCTGGAGCTCTCCTCGCTCTCAATGCCAATATTGTGCCCCCGGGACTCACAGGTTGTGGGCGCACAGCATGCAGTCGTTGGAGTAGGTTTTGTTGTCCGTGCCGCACACCGGGCTGTAGATCTTCAGGCAGGCTATCACCTCTTTGCCCTCGGGGGTGGTGCCTTTGGGGTACGTGCTGCAATCGAGCTGCAAAGGAACAGCAACATGAAGGAGGGAACCGCAGCCTTTGCATCGAATCAAGTATTACATTTGGGATCTGAACAAAAAATAATGAGCTTTCATTTCTTCTGTAAGCTCTGGACAATTAAGGGGCTAACCCATATATTTCAGTGCATGGAAATAGGCTAGCAGACCACGTTCCAGAGGTGCAGTATAAGAGACCCTTGCACCAGATGTTCAGAGGGCGCCAGTCCTCATTGCAGCATGGGTGGCAGCGCAAGCCACAGACACCAGCTGCAAATCTGCCTCCCCTCGGCATTTCTCCAGCGCGGTGTGTAGTTGTTGCTCTGCAGATCACACGGGGTTTAAATGAATGAAACGCTGTCGTTCTGACTGTATGGAAGTGGAGTAGCCGAATCCCCTCATGTTACTGTTTGAAGACGTAATACTGGGGTGGGCTAGCTTCCTGACACGCCAAACTGTGTCTTTGGGATGGCGTTGGGCAAGTAAATGAGCACATGAAGCTGTGGGCTACACCCTACACCCTTGGGCTGCCTGCTGGGACTCATCAAAGTGCACGTGTGTTAGTGGGCAGCAGCAGGGGTTGGGATCTTCTGCACAGCAGGTTGCCAAGCTTGTGATCCAGTTACGGGGTCTGCAAAACGCCAGCGCCCAGAGAGGCCGGCGGAGCGGTCCCTTCCCAGAAGTGCGCAGCAAGAGACACTTCGGCTATGTAGCCCGTGCCTCACTCCTCTTCTCTCCCTCGCTTTCTTCTCGCGCATTTTATGGATGATGTCCACACAGGGCAGTTAGCATCCGATTCACATCCGGACAGAAGGGCAGTGCGTGGTCTGTGCATGCCCCGAACCCATTTCTATCACGCCCGGGCTGTCCCGAGCTGAAGCCAGCTGGCGTCCGACAATGGCAGCCGAGGGACTTCCACCAAGCCCTGATTTTGCAAGAAATCTCTCTAGACAGGATAATTACCTTTCTGCATGCTCCTTTGTGTTTTATTTTAACGTAAGTCCCATGCTCTCTGGTGGAGATGGAGAGAAAGACAGAAAGAAAGAGAGAGAGAGACGTTACAGTCTTCGGCAATTGTAGAGATCTGGGGACACGTGTGTTGCCTGAGGGTGTGAGACGATCGCATCCCCCCACCCCAGCAAAAGCCTCCCCTTGCTCTTGCAATGCTGCAGCATTGAAAGTACCTTTAATGGCTCAGCTTCTGCTAAGGGGAAGGGTGGAGTAAGCGCGTGATGCAAAGACCTATTCGGCCACTTCTCCACGAGGAGTTGCCCTGTGCATAGCCAGGCCAACACAGCCATGAAGGCAGTAGCCACATAATGCAGGGAACCCATTAGTGAGAGACTCACCCCGTTGTGCTGTCAGTGTTGGGGATATGAACCACATTCACACCTTATGCATGGGAGGCTGCCAGGATCCCCCAAGTCAGCAAAAGCAAGAGGCGGGAGAGGGACATCAGGGTGGAGGAGAGGGGCACCAGGAGGTTCAGAGGCCTCCAGAAATGGGGCTATGAAGCAGGGCTGGACGGGAGGAAGGGGCCTGTCTGGAGCTCTCCTCGCTCTCAATGCCAATATTGTGCCCCCGGGACTCACAGGTTGTGGGCGCACAGCATGCAGTCGTTGGAGTAGGTTTTGTTGTCCGTGCCGCACACCGGGCTGTAGATCTTCGTGCAGAACATCACCTCTTTGCCCTCGGGGGTGGTGTCTTTGGGGTACTCGCTGCAATCGAGCTGCGAAGGCAACATGAAGGAGTAGTGGTGGAGTAGCGCTTTTGATATGACAAGGAGCCTAAGTGTGACCTGCCCGCTCGGTGCGCCAGGGTGTGCATGCCCTAGCACAGGAGAAGTGAGGACGACTTGCTATGTGAAAGACAACCCTCCTGTGTCCTCCCTGCTCGGCACTTCCAAGCCTCCATCCTAGTTAGAGAGTGGCCCTCAACTCTCCTCAATTCTTCTTCCGTGAATGGGCCGAGTCAGTTTGACTGTGGTTTTGTCTCTCCCAGGGATGGAAGGAAAGCACAACTGGGAAGAAGAACAAATCACTGAGCTTTGCAATTCCACGTGAGACACCCACACAGAAAGAGGTGGGTGAGGAGGAGGCTCACCCCCAGATCCGGGGGCTTGGTAGTGGGTCAGGGTCTCAGCTGGGTTGCTACCAAGAGTCAAGCTTAGGAGCTGATTGCAGATGATGTGGCTGTGAGCATGCGTCTTACAGAATCAGAAGAAATGAGTGTGGGAGGGACCGCAGGAGGTCATATCTAGTCCAACCCCCTGCTCCAAGCAGGACCAGCCCCAACTACATCATCCCAGCCAGGGCTTTGTCTACCCGGGTCTTCAAAACCTCCAAGGATGGAGTCTGCACCACCTCTCTGGGGAGCCTGGTTCAGTGCTTCACCACCCTCCTCATGTAAAATGTTTTCCTAATATCCAACCTAAACCTCCCTTGCTGCAGCTTGAGCCCATTGCTCCTTGTCCTGTCGTCTGCCCCCACTGAGACCAGCCCAGCTCCATCCTCTTTGCAGCCCCCGCCCTGCAGGGAGGTGAAGGCTGCTATTCAATCCCCCTCGGTCTTCTCTTCTGCAGACTAAATCAGCCCATTTCCCTCGGCCTCTCCTCACCAGTCCTGTCCCCCAGCCCCACAACCATTGTCGTTGCTCTCCACTGGACTCTCTCCAATGTGTCCACATCCTTTCTGTCGTGGGGGCCCGCAGCTGGACACAGGACTCCAGATGTGGCCTCCCCAGTGCTGAATATAGGGGAAGGATCACTGCCCTCCATCTGCTGGCAACGCTCCTGCCAATGCAGCCCAGGATGCCATTAGCCTTCTTGGCACCAAGGGCACACTGCTGGCTCCTGGTCAGCTTCTCATCTCCTGTCCCCCCAGGTGCTTTTCTGCAGAGCTGCTGCCCAGCCCGTCGCCCCAGCCTGCCCCGGTGCATGGGATGAGTGGCAACCTGAAGGTCAAGTCAAACCATCAGTGTAAACCTAGAATTAAAACTATACATGCACTGCCAAAATTATCTCCTAGGGATGCCAACAGGAGTCTTTACACTCATGGCACAATTGGTTATTGGTATTTTTCTTCCTGGCCTCTGCGATGGAGCTTGCCTCTTGGAGTCCCAGTATCTCATACAGACCGTGAGGATCAAACAACATGGGTCTCGGTGTGTATTGACGTGCGGATGAAGTGCAGGTTTTTATTCTTTTGCACGTCTGTAACTGGGGCAGGTTTGGTTCTCAGTGCACTCAACTACTCTCACCAATTTTAGAGCTGATCAAATAAACTGTACCCCAATCAATGAGGCTAGTTATGAAATGTGGTTCTTCCTGGTGTTTAACTGAAATGTGGCACGGCTGCACAATTAATAGTAGAATAACAGACATATTTGGTGAAATTCTCAGAGGAAAATGACACTATATGATAAGTAGAAGATGGGAGGGTTTCAACATTTATCACCCCTTTGGCAATGTGGTTAGCAACTACTTATACCAGACTAGACATCTGGAGGAAGTAAAAGGAAATATAGATCAGCTACTCACCTCAACCCCAGAGGCAACATCTGCAAAAAAATCACAGATAGGACACGTGAACTACTCCAGCGTCACTGCCAGACACAGAAGTTAGACGCTCAAGTGCTGAGTTATTACAGGCAATTTCAAATCCAGAGGTTGTCAGGGACTAGCATCCTGGTCTGAACAAACCCTGTTTAGAGCGTGGTCCTATGCTGATAAATGAGAGGGTTTTCTTATCATTTAACATAATGGAACGGAGCTCTTTTATTTTACCGCTTTGTTTCATGGGCTGGGAATTTATTAATCAAGAAACCAATTCATTTTCCTTCCCTTTTTGCTTTCATACCTTTTCATGGCACAAAAAATAGCTACAGTCTATCGCAGAAAAGGTGCCCCCTCTACACAGGTGAATGATGAGTAGTACAAATAAGCCTATGCAGCAAGCGTGGCATGCAACACGCATATCCAACAGGGTGCACTTGTAACAAGCAGCACTTTTGCACTTTTTGCTTCAATACTGAAGATGACTGTCGACCTCTGGCATTGCCCGGCCCTTTCCTGGCAGCTGCATCTCAGCCAGCAAGAATATTGCAGGGAATTTACCATGCACTCCGCAAGGTTCAACGCTGGGCCTGCCAGATGTGCATGGATCAATAGTGGGTGTCAGCACATCTGGCTGTGCTCTCTTCCTAGGTACCCAGACACCCACGCTCTGTGTTGTGCCCACAAATAGTGCTGGGTGCAGAATCACGCGTGGTCACAAAATGCAAGGTGCTAGCATAGGAGGTGCGTGGACCGCGGTTCGGCGTGTCGGTCTTTGCGGTGCACAGCCGCTGGGTGAACACCGCCCTTCATACAAGGGGGCTCTTCCTCAGCCTGAATATTTTTAAGCTGACCAGGACTCTGACTCAGATCCGGGCAAGATTCACTCACCTGAGAAGCAGCCAAATGCTAGGAAGACGAGCACAAAACCCCGGGTTTTCTTCATGGTGCAGGTGGCTGCGTAGCCTGCACGCACTCTGCCGTGCTGAGCTCTATGGAGGCAGATCATGAATATATACAGACACGCACGCATGCAGGTGTCCAGTCGGTATGGAAACAGCCCTCCAAATCTGTCACCAGTACAATAAACCTGGTAATATTTATTGAGGCCTTGACTTTCTGCTAACGCTCTTTGTCTCCCAGGCAATTGATTTTGGCTGGACATTTGGTAAGTGGCTTGAGACGGGTTTAGCTGCGTCAAATGATATTTCTGAAGGAAAGACCCAACGGTAGACTTTAAGAGGAGACAGTGTCAGACGTCCGACGGGCAGATGGAGCCTCCTTTCGTCTCTGACCCCATATACAAAGTGATGTGAAGGCAGGGCTGGGAGCGGGGTTGGGGTGGGGGGGGCACGGTTCTGCTGGAAATCAGCCTAAGGTCCCATTTTCCCACAGTCTCACACTGAGGATGTCTTTGACACCACCCGAAGTGCAGCCGGCCGCAGCACGGCCGGCTTTGGTGGGTCCTTGTCATAACTGGGAGGGCCGCACCATTTGGTGCGGGTCTGCTGGGAGCAAGGGACTCTGGACAAGCTGATTGCGAGGCCTAGAGAAGGCGCCCAGGGCAATGCCGTCACCGTCTACAAAAAGATCACCTGTGCTTTCTCAGCGGGGAGAGACTGTTTACGGTTCGAGCGGCAGGCACAATGAAGCGAGTCAACGTGTCCTGCCAAGAAACCTTGGAAATCAAGTGCCGTGAAGGGATCGTAACAATGGGAATACTGGCATGATGGCACGGCTGCCCCTGCGAACCACCTGGAACATGTCACCGCGGCCACGAAATCGGTCACGGTTGCACAGGGCGCGTTATGCCTCCGGTCCTTATGCAGCCTCTGCAAATCCCCCTCCTTCCGGGCCCCAGGTCCTCCCTCCTTCCTTTGCCAGCTCGTTTCGACAGGCTGGTCCCCGTCTTCGAGACCTCTGGTGCTCACGGCTGCTCTTGCGGTGGTTTCATAAGCTGTAACCTCACCTTGGATATCGGGCTACTGTGCATTTGCAGGACTAGACAGATAGACACACTCCCAGATTAGGCAACTCTTTCAAAGGATCATCCCCGGGGAGAAGGATTAATCCTCGGAGAAAAACTACTGCTTCAGAGGGTGCAGAGGAAAGAAATGGGCTGAGAAGACATAGCTAAAGCCTAGAAAAGCCACTTAGAGGGTTTGGGGTCAAGAGAACTCCTTCCAAAGCCCACAAACCCCGTCACCTGAACCTCGGCAGGGGGACAGTGGGTTCAGGCCAAGCACAATTAAAACAAATGACGTTAGCACGTTCCAACGAGACGTGCTGGGAGTTAATTGCCACCGCGTTGCACAAACGAAGGGAACGTCTGTGTCAGAGCACCGCTCCGGGGAAAGCACAATAGGCAGCTGTCAGCTACAAATCGTTTAGGAAATTACACGGCAGCCAAGTGCGAGGCTGTCACGGTCTTGTTCCCGGAGCGTGACAATGCTTTGAGGCCTGGAGCACAGAAGAGATGCCGTGCTAGGCTATCGGGAGAAATCTCATCTCCATGCAAAACTAGCTGGAATAATGGTGTGCGTGTCTCAGAAACTGCGGCGCGGGGTTTGACCAGGGAGGGAAGAGCTCCAGCCATGCAAAAGGCAGCCTGGCGCTTGCTGGTAGAAAGGACGGTGTGTCCTGGGGGCTCCGGAGACAGGGGCTGGAGCGATCACTCCTCCGGTTCTGGTTTCAGACGTTGGAAGCAGTGTGCACGGGGGACTGAGGGTGGCACGGACGAACCGGATTTGTTTGCGGTGCCCTTGCTGTGATGGGCTACATAGCACGTCTCAAGAGAGGCCTGCCCGGAGGGAGAAGTGGTTTCCTTTGCTAGTGCCCTTTGTCTGAGGCCGGGCAGGCCTGCCACACTATTTCTGTCCGTCCTGCTTGGAGAAAGGGATGGATGGGGAAGAACAGTCATGGGATCACGGCTTCAGGCATATGAGGGTCAGCTCTTTGCTGCGGACCAGACCTTCTGGAGCAGGCCACCCTTCCTCCCCACCTTGTGAGAGAGGAGGGGAACAAAGTCCACCTGCTTCCACCTGCTGCCCATCCTCGCTGTCGGGACTGCAAGCCGTTTGGGACGGTCCGACTGCTGCAGTGGGTGTGCTCAAGGCCCCGTGCAATGGGGCTTTCGTCCTGGCCGGGGTGTCTCGGTGCTCCAGACACGTGATGGGGATGGGGGTGAGGAAGCGGGCGCTCCAACGGGGGATTGGTGAGGTCAGACGTTCCCAAAAGCCGCTCCAGGGTCCAGTCCTGGTGCTCAGGAGGGACGAACCCGAAGCGTGCAAAGCTCTCCTCCTGGGGGAGGCCACGATTACACGCACCGCGGGGAGTTCAGGGCCAGTCCCGAGGACAAACCCGTTTCTTCCCGGGACACCTGCATGGAGACAAGCATCCAGCACGGCTGCTGCAGGAGTGGACCCGCCAGAGCCAGCGCAGCCCCTGGGATTTCCCTTTTGGAAACCTGGGGGGATGCTGAGAAGTCCCTAAAAGCTCCCAAGAGCAGCCCCTGCCCTTTCCACACTGCATTTAATCCCTGCCTCCAAGCAAAGTCTTTTATGAGTCTACATGCAGCTGACCCGCAGGACAGCAAGACGCTTCCTATCTCGAAGGTCCCTCCTCGAGAGCACGGGGCATCCCGCAACAACGCACTGGCAGTGTCGGCGCCATCGCCGCGCAGACTAGGCAAAAGGGTTCACAAGACATGATGTGAAGACAAGAGAAAGAAATGCTTTTGCTTGATCGTCCCAGGGAATACAGAGAGATCGACAGCCCTCAGGGCCCAGGATGAGCAAGGGTTTCTATGGGATCTGCCCGTGGCAGGAAGGACCAAATGGGGGTCTTTCTGGTGTGGGTCCATGCCAGTAAGGATTCAGCATTCTCCATAATGGTTGTGGTAGGGGTCCCGCTGCTTTCCTGCAGGACAAGCGAGGAAGAGATGGACCACCCAGAGCATGTGCTGGTGGCAAAAAGTGACTATTATTTGACTCGAACTATCAGGGAGGGTCTAGCCCCAGAGGTGAAAAGCATCTGACCTCCATAGCTATTTCCCCTATGACAAGAAGGGAGAAAAACCTAGCGCAGTCATCGGGTTCAAGCTCTTCTCATGCATCACGAGAGGCTGGGCTAAGTCGATCGCTGGTGTAAAGAAGTGACACTGCCCTGAAAGTCAGCGGGGAGGCGTCGATTGGCACCTCACCACAAAGTTTGGCCCTGGGGGTTTTAAATGGAAGAAAACAATTCCTGGCAGCATCGCAGTGCTTGTAGCTGGCAAGCTGATGAATTGGCGCGATCCTGGAGGGACAATGGGCTGGTTCTGTATGTTCAGGACTGCGTGGCAGAAAAGGCATCGGTTGCACGCGGTGCCGTCAGAGCCGCCCGGGCACGCGTCCTCCGGGGCTCGGGTCGGGCCGGGTTCAGTGTCGTCCCTGCAGTCACCCGTCGGCAGGAGAGCGTGAACCGGGGAAGACCCCCACCCTGACCCATTCCCCCACCCGGAGGAATGCACGTCTCTTCTTCGAGCCTGTTAATAAGTGAGACTTGAGAACAGCCCTCGCACTGAGAAAGGAAGTTCAAATAAGAAGAACGCTTGTTTTCGCACCCCGAGACTACTTACTATCTGAGCAGAGGTTTGTACTTCCCCGGTGGTGCGACGCCTGTGATCGTAATGCAGGATTTCCAGACTGGGACTTGGAAAGTCCTGGACTTTCAGCAATTCAGAGGGCTGGTACCTGCAGGAATTGGTGCATCCCATGGTCCTAAAGCAAGTCCTCTGCTCCTAGCCTGCTGCTTGCTGGAGCAACGTGGTGCTATTTCTCCTGCTGATCTTCTACATCATTCCTCATCTATCCCCCCTCCTTCCCTTTGACTCAACTGGCCTGCAAAAGGATTATGGCCATTTTGCATAGCGAAGGTGAAACCTCCCCGTGCACAAGGTCATGCCCCATTTAGGTATCAGAATATAGTGCAATCCAGCCTCCCCCCACAAGGAAGTCAATGGGAGTCTTTCCAGTGATACCACAAGTCATAGGATCTGATATCCCAGGTCTAACCGGCCAGAGCAGACCCTGTTCTCATGGTCTTTGGAGGAGGGAGAGACCAGTGTTAGGGAGCTCCATGGCTCACTGTCTCCCTAACATCCTACCAGAAGTAGCAACCAAACTCACCGAAGAGGTCGGATATAATAATTGCATTGCACGATGACCTGATTGTGTTTAGAAAGTGATATTACTATAATATTGTTTCAGTAAGGTGGTCTGAATAGAGCCAACTAGCCTCCTCCTCTGGGTAGGAGACATGGGATGTCTGCACGCTGTGTAGTGCCCGGTCTCTTCTTCCTAGCCTGTCCCAGGCAGCTGATGGAAATATCATACTGCCGCGAAACGAGTAAAGAGTGGATGTCGGAAAACCAGCTTGCACATGTACCCTCTACTCAAGGGCATACAATGGCACCTGCAATTCTTTCTACCCGCCAGACTGAAGGTGCTAATGTACTACCCCAAGAAGGAGGGCCTGAAATCTTGGCTCCTGACCTCGAATCTTTTCAGGGTCATCTTTCCTAGAGAAAATAGCTCATCACAAAGGCAGAGTGCCCTCCACTTGGAGGACACCCTCATGTTTTTCAAGGTCCCCAGGCCTGTGGCAGGGCTTTAAGCAATCCCCAAGGACCGAATCACCAGAGGAGCAGCAAAATACTCGAGCAAAGAGCACAGCCCCCCGTGCCATCCCACTGATGGAGGTGGTGTTTGGTCAGAGCGCAGCCTGCTCCTGCTCCTGCTCCTGCTCCTGCTCCTGCTCCTGCTCCTGCTCCCGCTCAGCTCAGGGGGTGAGCTCCCTGTGCTCACAACAGACAGGATCATGTATATGCATGTGTTTGTATATATATATATATATATATATGCAGACCCATGTACAGCTCTTCCAACCTTATTATGAAATAGCCACCCCAAATGCATCATCTGCCTGGCAACATTTACTGAGGGCACAAAGAAAACTTCCTCCTCGATGCAAACAATAAGAAATTGAAATACGAGAGTGACTCCTATGCTGGGAACCCAATAGAAAGTGGGTTGGTTGGGGGTAAAGCAGGAGGTGATATCCTGCAGGCTGGAAGAGGATGAAGGCATTGGCAAGCCAGCCCCGGTCTCACATCCCCCGGTGGCAACCTGAGTGGGGAAGGCACACCCCGAGCAAATAGCCTATTTGCAGACAACACCCTTGAGCTTGTTGATAAAAGGGATCATATATGTGGGCTTGGTTATCTGGCTACAGACCCAGAGACACGGGCTCAAGCCATACTGCAGGCTTGCCAACAGGCTGCCTGTGGTCGGGGTGGGGGTAGCTGTCACCGGAGCAGGGATTGTTCGGGAGCCGCCCAAGTCCCGTGTATCGTGGACTGAGTTCGCATGTCTTGCCAAGTCATCTTGAGACTCATTTGCACCTAGGTGTTAGGAGCAAAGGGGATATTTGCATTAGACTATAGCTCAAAGGGCGGGACAGTTGGCTGATGCCCACGGCAAATCATCTGGAGAAATGACGTGTCAGCTGCAGAAGAATAATATGGGGGTATTTTGCCCCTGTTCTTTGATCTCTCTCATACCTGCAGGTCTGGTCCATAGTGGGAAAACAGGAAATGGGACTGGAGTAGTCACTGTGCAAGCCTAGCCCAGGCACCCGGATGCCCACAGACAACCTGCGCCAGGGAAGCCACCCCGGGAAGGGGACAGCTGCGGGCTCAGAGAAGTCTTTTGACCTTTAAATGCGCGAGATGCATCACAGCCGCTGGCCACTGTCGATATATCCCGGGGTGGGTGTTTTCCAAAAGCAAGCGTCTTTCAGGGGTCAGTGCCGCGGGGAGCTGGGATGAGACCCTTTGCAAAACCAGCAGCTCCTCCATAGGGTCACAGTGCGTAGGATCATTTCTCCAGGCTTGCTTAGAGGCTGCAGGGAACATGCAGGGGTTTTAGCTGGGAAGGAATTAACTTGCCTTATTTACCAGTCCTTGGCTGTGGTGAAAAGCAGAGCAAATCTGTGCACGCAGGAGAGGTGAGCGCAGAACGGGCTGGACTGAGACGGGCGCAGGTCACGCAGCAAGAGACGGGCAGGCAGGTTTTCGGGCTCGTGCACAGCTCGGGAGCAGGGGAGCAGCCGCATCGCATTGGGCAGCCTGGAGGATGCTTTCTGCTCTGGTCCTGAGGACCAGGTGCGTATCGGGGGCAGAAATGCAGAGGCTCTGCACGTCATTTATGCAGGCTGCATGCTACCCCAGTCACCAGGTGAATGTCTTGGCTTAATTAATTCGGAGGCTGGAAGGAAAGATGAAGAGGAGGGAAAAGAATGACACGAGGTAAGCCCCGTCATTGCAACTGTTGGGGGGTTGTTAAGAGAGGATTGCAAGGCAGGACAAGGCCTGGGGTCACATCACATCCAGGGGATGGTAGCAGTGTAAAAACAGATTCCCTTTGTCTCGAGAGAGTTGTTGGAGGGACCCGGTCTGGCACGCAGCCCCCTGCGCTCATCAGGGGCCGCTAGCCTTAGCGTAGGGTGTGGACTGCTTGTTGCTCCAAACTGCATTTTCAGTGCAGGTTTTGTTCCCAGGGTTAAGGGACTGAAGGCGGCCGAGTGTATCGCACCGGCCACAGAGCCCTGAAGCGGAGAGCGGTGCAGCCGGGAGCGCATGGTTTGCTCGCCGGCTGGGCAGCCCGGCAGCTTGGGCCGAGAGCAAGAGCTGCGTGACCCCAGCCTAGCTAAAAACACCAGGCCTCGCGTCAGAGGAAGCGAGCTGGGAGCGGCACAGAGGTGCAACCAGCCCCATGCGCTTGGCACAGCCCAACCTGAGATACAGAGACATGGGCCTGCCCCAACGCTTGTCACCAAAGCGATGCACCCTGCGACTCCGGTCTTGGTGGGAACATGCCCCCAAATAATAATGCAGGCAGGTGGTGCGGGGCATCCTGGGGCGCTACCGTGCAACTTCTCTGCGAGATCGCAGGAGCCCGCACGTTATGCGCCTGCATCTTGCTGCTGCCGAGTGGGATCCTCAGAGGAGCAAGGTGCTTCCTTCCTTCAAGCCCTGGAGAGCAGAGCTCCCAGCGAAGGATGCATGGGCAGCAGCGCTGTTTTCTTGCTGCAAACTAGATGACGTGGTTCCCGGGACACGGCATTAAAACAAGAGAAAGACTCTGTTTTATTTTACTGCACCAACAAGCCTACAAGGATCGCAAGTCCTTCAGGGTCCAAGATGAGCCGAGGCGAGGACTTCGTGTGGTATCTGCCGAGGGGGAGACGGGATGGACCAAAGGGCGGCGTGGCGGTCCTCATGTGAATCGGTGCCAGTAAGGATTCAGCATTCGCCGTAATGGCTCAAGGTGAGAGTCCTGCTGCTTTCGCTGGAGGGAAA